TTCGAGAAGAGTGCTTCGGAACTGAAGAGCCTCCACTGCACCCCCCTCATCACCCGCCTGGCCACCTACTTCGGGCTTTCACTGCAGGGGTGCACAGAGCAGGGGGCACCAGAGTCTTTGGCAGGCAGACGATTCATCATATGCACCTGCTGCGAGAGAACCGCGGCATTCTGTGGATCGAGGGGTTTCCGGAACCTCAGATCCCCGCGGAGGACCAGCCAGAGGACCAGCCAAAGGACCAGGAGGATGAGGTTGTTGATCATGTGGAGCACGAGGAGGTGGATGTTGCTGCTGCCCCCCGCCCCACCACCTTCGAGTACGGGGGTGACAGCTCCACTTTCCCCGGGCAGGACTACTTCACCCATCAGTTCAAGCAGCTGCGCATCCAGAACCAGCAGATCCTTGACCAGCAGCTCCAGTTCCAGCAGCAGTACGCGGCTCACCAGGCCGAGTACCAGCACAGGATGGCTGCTTATGATGAGCGCCTGGACATGATGGCGACCCAGCAGGGGGTGACACTAGCTCATATCGAGCGAGAGAAGGCTCGATCTAGGCGCATGCAGGAGGTCCAGCAGCACTTGATCCAGCTGCTACCGGGCGAGCAGCCAGTCTGGAGGACTCCCTGGGAGGACTCTCCACTTCCACCTCTCTCAGCTGATGGTGATGATGGTGATGACGCCTTCATGGACGACATCGACCTGGATAACCTTGGCGACGAGTAGACTGTACTCGTTGCCCCTCTGAGTGTGTTTTGTTTTAGACTTTTGTGTGTTTGCTCCATGTGTGAGGAGCTTGAACTTAGTGTCGTTTGTTTTTGTGTTTTCTTTTTCTTTTGAGGATTGTTTATTTTGTAGCCATCTGGGCTAACACTGATCCCTAACTCACAGAGTGCTAGTGTGTTCTTGATGTTCGATTCGTGCAGAACTTTCCATCTTCCCGTTTGTTTCCCGCTGACTGGTCCACTTCCAGTCTCCCCAGCAGTATTTCAATCCGGTAACATCGTTCCCCTTATCTCTCCCTCTACTCCATTGAGGGCAATGTCGTGCTTAAGTGTGGGGGGTGCTTTGTATCGGTTGTAATCTATATTTGTGTGCTTGGAGCCTAGTCCGCTATCCGAATCTTACGATTTGAGGGCTCCAAGTACTGTTGTTTGATCATATTGGCACGGTGTTGTGATTGATGAATTGAATGGTTTTCGAATTGATGCATGACAACTGGATTGTGACTAGGACAACCTATAATGATGACTGAGACGTGCAGTAGAATTGTGTAGGGGTTCAGTTTTTTAACTGTTTGCTTACCAACTGTAACTTGGATGAATCACTTGTTCTTGACAGTCGTTTATGCATCTAGTTCAGGGAATTAGAATGTGAGATAGAGCATATAGGTAGCCATGTGAGATTTGAGCCTGCTCGTTTCTTTCTTGTGCGATAGATCCCTCTTCCATGATGTGTAGCATTCACGTTGTCACTAGCTAAGATGATGGAGGCATAGGATTAGCCCACGACCAAATTGACTGTCCTGATGTGTCATATCCCCTAGTCAGCCCTTTGAGCCGTGTGTTATCCTTTCTTTTGGTCTACAATGAAAAATCACCCTTTTGCATCTTTTAGAAGGTTCCACAGAGTGGTTTTTACATGTTTTCTGTTGTTTCTGCTAAATTTAATGTGAGGGTTGGAGGTAGTGCTTAAAAGTTGGTCATGTGTTTGATAAATGGGCAGAAGTGGTGGTTCTCTGAAGTAATGAAAAGAAAATGAAAGAAAACAAGAAAAAATGAAAGCAAAAGAGAGCCACCACAAAAAATATGAATAGTGCCCATTAAGTAGTGTTTCTTAGGAGTCTGGCTTGGAAATGCTGACATTTATATAACCTCCTTCGCTCTTGTGCTCTTGAGAATTTGAGTAATGCAGAATGGCAGAAAGGAAATACTGGTTTGTTTGATTGTGATTGTGTGGGTTTGGAAATGTGGAACCTTGTGCTATGAATACTTCCACCACCTAAAAGGCATTTTCCCCATGTCCAAGACCCTAGCCAGTCATTTGAACCTGTGTCTAAGACCTCCGGATTAGTTAGTGGTGACACCCCATATGTGAACTCTAGCATTTAGAGGCTGCCATCGTGGTGAAGAGATGTTAGGGATTGAGAGAAATAGCATGCGCATTTTTCGCATCAAATTGTCCTGACCCCACTGGTCGAGAGTGAGTGATTCATTTTCATATTCTATATACTCTTGTACCCCGGTGAGGACCTAGATTGCTCGGTCTCTATTCTAATGTTTTGAGTTGGATGCATGAGGTGACTGCTTTGAGTAAGTGGTTGAGTCAAGTCTAGGTTGGTTGAGAACAAAAGGGAGACTCTTCCTTTACTCGATTTTGCTGCACTCGAATGTCCTTTGTGGTGGTTGTCCAGGTTGCTATTGAAGTTGTTCATGTGTTGATGTTTGAAAACCAGTACGATTCACGTGTTCTGTGCCTTTATGACTTGTCCCCAATGTTGGTATGATTGAAAATGTGAGCTCACCTTGTGTCTGACTTGGTTTGCTTGGGGACAAGCAAACGGTTAAGTGTGGGGGAGTTTGATAGACCGTTAATTACACATGTTTTCACCTCTATTCTTACACCATTTGAGATGTGGTTTCTCGTGTTTTAGGCCGATTTCACGCTAGGTTGTACTTGTTTGTGCTATTTCAGGTCCTAGTACGTGAATGGAGGCTTGGGAGCGAGTTTGGGGGCGATTGGACGAAGATCGGACGCGTGGCGAGGTGCTGAGGAAGCCACACGGGCATTCCTGGAACCCACACGGCCGTGCAAGTCACCCTTGTGGCCGTGTGGTTTGTGCCGAGAGAAAACACGGGCATGGAGAAAATTCCACACGGCCGTGTGACTCTGGCCATGTGGGAAGCCTGAAGTTCGACTTATCGAGACGCGGCATTTTGGAAGCCACACGGGCAACTGGGTGAGCCACACGGCCGTGTGGCCTGCCCCTGTGAGTCGGGAAATCTTGGTTTTTACCCAATTCCGAGCCACAAGTGAGAGAATCGAATTTTCAGAGCAAAAACAGAGTTTTAGAGAGAGAAAGAGCGAAGAACAAACCCTAGGAGCTATTTGGAGTGGATTTCTCACCATTGAAGCCCAGATTGCGTCCCCAACTGAAGATTGACATCCCAGAGCAGATTTTCCTCATCTTTATGAGTATGACTACTCTGATTTCTGTTTTCCTCTCTCTCTCTATGGAGTAGAACCTTTCTCTCACTTGGGTATGAAGAACCCTAGTTCCATGTGTTAGGGATTTGATTGTAATGACTTAGGATGATTATACTGTTTGGTTTTAATCGAATGATGCATGATTCATTGAATTGATTGAAGTCTGATCAGCTTTTCTTGATTTCTGCTGCAACCTGAGATAGATAGAATCTGATTAGGTTGTTAGAGCTACATCATTCGGTAGTAGGAGATTGGCTATACGAGAGTTCGTCAATTTACTGCTTTGTACTGGAATCCAATTCCAGTAGTGGAGTTCTGTGTTCATAGCCTCAGCTTTCTATCCCGGTGAAGACTAGTTGTCTGCCGGGTAGTTAGACTGAGAGGGCTTGGTCAGCTTAAGAGATTCCAAGCTACTGTCGGATCTTCCGCAGTTTAATCAACAGTAAATCAACCCAGGGTAATTACAATTGAAACCTAACTAAGGAGCTAGGGGGACTCATTTCCCGAGTGACTCTTCCCTGCTTTAGAAAACCGAACCATTTCTTGCTTTTGCCTGCTTTTACTTTAAACAACAATCACTCGACTTAGTTGGCTAGATAATAGATAATCACGGAGTAGGCAGTAGACCTAGACCCCGGGTTGATAATAGAACTTGCCTGTTACTGCATTCCCGGACTGCGATTACACTTGGTCGCAGTTTGGTGTTGTGTTTTGGTGTGTCAGCAATTCATATTTCCATTGGTAGAGTTGATTGAAATCTAGTCTCATCTAGTAAATTGGTTTTTTTCTCTTCTCTCGAGTTGTCCAAAAGTTAATTATTCGTTTCTGCTTAACCAATACAATTAGCCCGTAATATGATTGATTCAAAACTCGATCGACTTGTAATCTAATTGACTCGTAATTCAATGACAATTAATTTAATCAAACACATCCTAATTTGATTCAATACACGTATTTGATACTTCTTGGAATCTAAGATTGTTAAAAATTTGTCTCAAAATCTATTAATATATCCACTTTTTCACAATTTATTCACAAAAAATGACAACAAGATACGATATAATACAATGGACCTTTGCAGGTCAATCAAAAACAGAAAAAAGATAGGGTTGTTGGTCAATGAGAAGTCAATCCAATGATAAGAGTGTCTTGTTTTACCACAATATATGTAGCCCTGTTATACCTACATGGCGCGAAATGAAACAAAACACAATGAATGAGAAGGACAACACAAGAATCTCCCTGAATATGGCTTCCCCTAAAACATATGACGAGTCCTTCGAATTAAGCATCCTGATGATCACTTGTACATCACCACAAAACATTATATTAGAAAGCAAATGAGACAGACACCAATAAACAGCGATCGTTAACGCTGTAAGTTCCCTAATGAAGGAATTGTAATGAGATCATAGACAAAACTGAAGCTTTATGAACACAGCCATATTTCCATGTGATCGCATATGAGATTGATCATGGTGTAGCAACGTCTGGCTGCCTTTTTTGCCTTGCAAGATGAAATGAGGTATGTGGTTATTACTTATTAGTAAACAAGCGACGGCAGTACAAAGATGATATAAAAACTGTTTTTCAGTTGTTTCATTCAACGGGGATAGCTCAGTTGGGAGAGCGTCAGACTGAAGATCTGAAGGTCGCGTGTTCGATCCACGCTCACCGCATACTCATTCAAAATATTTTAATGGATGTTCAGAGCTGAACAAACTGTTTTATTTTTAAGAATGAGATATCAGAAAGACTCATCAATGACATATTTCTTAAACTTCCAATATCACAATAGAGAAACAAGAGATGCCATTTTATTTCATCTGATGTTTAATACAAATGCCTTGTTATTCACAATGTTACATGATGCAAACTTCTTGCACAACAGAATACACAAGATGGGGGTCATTCAATTCACCAGTATACATTCTCTTCTTGCAGTCTCAGTGAAGCTTGAGGAAACTCAAGACAAGATCATAAACTTCCTCTTTGGCAGCATCAGCCATGACATAGTCAGCATGAGCATAGTTATTCACATACTGAGTCATGAAATTACCCTTGTTATCATCATGACCTTTCAGCACATCCAGCAAGAATCTGACATCGCTTTTATCCGAAAGCCCGTCGCTCCCTCCATAGCTGAAGAAGAGAGGAAACTCCGTGGGGATGTTCTTCATGTTGTAATCTGGAGGGCTTGGCTGTCCATAATGGCTCATGTTGTCATCCTCATTGTCGTAATCATACATTGCCAACGTCCCTCTCCTCACCACTGGGTTCATAATAACGTAAGAGACAAGGCAGCAGTAAGCTTTAGTCAAGACCCAATTCTTCCTAATTAATGTTCGTTCATTGGGTTTGAAGTCGACTCTCATAACATGTTAAGAATGAAAACTAATTCGTCCGATAAATTAAGTTTTTCTAGATGAGAATTTTGGGTAAGAGAAGGATTTTACTCTGGGAGAGGTGGATCATGTTCTTCATTGATGTGGGCTGCGGCTCATATTTCAGAAACAGGTCCACTGTGGAAGATTGCAGGCAGCAATTCTTGCCTGTTAAATGGACATCCAAAACAAAATCTCCATTACTGCAACTGAAACTTAGAGAGTTACTTGGCAATCAAGATATATTAAAACTATGTAATGTTACCTGTAATTGCAGTTAACAAGTCCCCACAGCTGACTCCAGGTACCTTGCAGATGTCGTGAAGTAAGTTTGCGGCATCAATCCTGTTTCCATTATCACAGAGAATAGACCTCAGCTTTGTCTAGAGACTTGCAATGAAAGTAACCATTGAACTGAAAGTTATAGTATAATTTCTCTTACCCTTTGGGATCGAATTCGTTGATATTCAACCAGTTCAATTCCTGTTACACAAGAATGTGGTAGATAAAATTGCCATGAGATTTCCTTTTTTTTTTTTTTTCTTCTTTTCAGGTTAATTAGTTAGTACAATTTCGAAGCTTTATACCTCTGCAAGGAATAAATCAGCACCAACTTTGGAGAAGAAGGAGCTCATGTGACCCAGATAGCCAATAGGGCAAAGCAAGGCAGCTGATCTCACCATGTTCATCAACTGGCCATTTGAAAAGGCAGCAAGAGCTGTCAATGTCCCCTGTGAGTGTCCAACATAATGCATGTTTTGGCCAGTTTGGTTATGAACATAACCAACTGTAGCAGGCAGATCATAGTTCACCAGCTCATCCCATGACCAGTTCCAGTAAGCCTGAGTTCAAAAATTGAAAAAAGAGTTCATCAGAGAAAACCCTTTACTTGTTTCTAATCAAGATGAAGATAAAGTGAGGTACTTTGTCATCTGTAGTAAGTGAAACATGGCCGCGGCTGTACTTTGTTCCTCGACTATTGGCAATCCATACATCATAACCCTTATCAGCCAACACAAATGCTAATGACTGGCTTGGAGGCAGGAGAAGCCAAGTCATCCCATCCTGCAAAAGCCATGTCAGAAAGATCAGTAATTCATCATGTTCTAAATCCACCCAAAATCATTCTGATGGAGAGTAACAATGTACCATTAACACCCCATGCTGCAAAAGGACTGGTGTTCTTTTCCCAGGACTGCCACCTGAAATCCCAACTGGGATCCTTTGTAAGCTCAGAATATAGCCATCTGAAGTTGTCACCTGCAAAACCAACATAGTAAAAGAACCATATTTTAGAAACTTGCTACAAACGTAATGTTTTCATCATCAAATGGATCGATGCTATTTCGGTTAGTTACCGTGTGTTCTTCACATGTATAGCCTTGATTTGTGATCAATAGCTCACAGATGCCATCACTGAGAGATGGCTCAAGTCCATATGTGACATTCATGGCAGAAAGGAAGCGTCTACTTCTTCCTGTGGCAGCTGTCAAATTGCAGAGAAGTGCTGATATGAGAACAAAGGTTAGAGCTTTGGCCATCTTTCGATTTTGGGGGGGAGATCGATTTGCGATTTGGTTCCAATGTTCCACAGTAAATTTATAGCGGAGCAATCTTAAGATTAAGATTAAGAACAAAAAAATGGTTTCTTGGACTCAAGACAAACTTTGTTTAAGGAGACCAAAAACATATTACAGGTCTATTTGGCATATCTATTCTTTAATAATTTATTGTCCCCCACAATAGAAGAACTTCCACGTTTACATTGATCAAGTCAGCAACTTTGTAGCTTAATTTTTGCAGAATCGATCTGGACAAAGCAGTTGTATTCAAATTTGGGGGTTTGATTCTAGTTTTAAGGGTGTTTGCAGTTCCTTACTGATTAGTGAGAGTGTCCAAAAAGGAAGTGTTCACATGTGGGAAGCTGGTAGTTTTTTATAGAAAAACAATTAAACACCATTGAGTAACTTTTACTGGTTAATGCATCAAATCAGGCATATTTGGGGATTGGGCTTTGTCACCTAAGAATGAAGATGATATCATCAGCCATTTGATTGGGCCACTGCCTAATAGTAGCTATAGTGAAATACTCAAACTCATTCCCTAATCAATCATTAAATTAAATTAAATTATATTAATCCACAAGTAAGTTTTTTCTGTTCCTTAATAAAAAAAATAACAATTCTTTTATTGTTACTGTTCATAAAAGGGCATCGTATCCTATGAGGGCAAGTACATGGTGAAAATGTATTCCTCCGATTGCGAAAAACATGTTGTTTAAAGTAAGCATCCATTCTTACCCAAGCATATATACCTGAATCCCTCCTCTCATTCAAACTCATCAAAACAATGAACATCTTGATCTCAGTCTCGTAGGTAAGTAAAGTTTCCTTTTATTATATTGGTGTTACAATTAATGAAATACAACAGAATTGTAATGACAACACAAGATAAATTTGTCTCCCAATTGGAAGACTTAACAAAAGGACCTTAAGTTCTTCACCTTTCAATTATACAGTTTAAGAAAACCCAGCAGAGGCTCATAAACCTTTTCCCTAGCATTATCAGCCATGACATAGTCTGCATGAGCATAGTTGTCGATGAACTGAGACACAAGTTTGTCTCCCATGTGATCCTTCAAGCTTCTCAGCAAGATTTGCACGTCTTTAGCAGAAGTAATGGCATCTGTGCTTCCATAAGTGAGATATAGAGGCAAGTCCTTAGGAATTTGGGTTATGTCGTACACTGGAGGAGTAGGCTGCCCATAACGCTTCACATTTTGATCTTCATTGTCGTAATCATACATTGCTATTGTCCCTCGTCTCACCACTGGCAAAAAGTTGAAGCGCAGCAAAAGAATCAGTAATTAGAATCCAGGAAACCATGGCTTTATCAGCAGTGTATCAGAATGTTTGCTTAGGCAAAGGATTACAGCTCAAGGCCGTTACGGGCCATCAATTTTGGGATCAACTAGGGTTCGGAATTCAGAGAGGTTAGACGAGTTGAACGTATCGGATCAGATTTTGGTGATGCATAACTAATTAAGTAGATCCACTTACTCTGAGAAAGATGGAGCAAGTTCTTTGTAGATGTGGGTTGAGGCTCATTTTCCATGAAAGAATCCATTGCAGAAGGTTTCAGACAGCAGTTCTTCCCTGGTAAGGGCATGGACTCCAGAACTCAGACAAACATACAATTCATGCATCCTATGAAAACAAAACAAGAAGTTTGGACTAAAGAATCAACCTGACAATGCAGTCATCAAGTTGTTGCAGTCCACAAATTGCAGCTTGCACATTTTTTCAAGAAACTTCTGAGCAGGACCCCTAGTGTCATAAGTCATAACCAAGATTCTATCAGGGAAAACAAGTTTTAAGATTGAAACAACTAAGAGGGAAAAAGAAAAATGTCACACTCTTTTTACCCATTTGGATCAAATTCCTTAATTTTCAGCCAATAAAATCCCTGTTGCATAGTAGACAAAAAAAGCAAACAATCTCTCAACATTATTAGCCAAAGAATTGCTCTTTCGGCTCCGGAACAGAAGAGAAAAGAAGAATGAGCACCGAAGGCGAGGAATTCACCTCGGCGAAGAAGAGATCAATAGATCCTCTCATGAGGAGTGATGACATGTGGTGCATATAAGCAATGGGACAAAGCAAAGTAACTGAAGTCAACTTGTTGACAAGATGGCCTTTTGAAACAGCTGCAAGAGCTATCAGATTTCCCTGTGCACACAAAAGACAGACATCAGAATTTCTTTGAAGTTGCCAGAGGCCTTAAAACAGCAACTTCGGAATCTTCAGAATATTCACCTGGGAGTGGCCAACATAGTGCATCTTCTGTTTTGTCTGGTTATAGATATAATCAACCGTGGCAGGAAGATCCAGTGCTGCCAATTCATCCCATGACCAATCCCAATAAGCCTGAGAGCATCAGAACAACAACAACAATAGCTAGTTTTTGTCAGCATGCTGGAACCAGAATGTAGGGATCGGCAAATATCAACCCAAACTCACTCTAACCAAACTTAATGAGTTGTGAGTTGACGGGTTTCTACATCTTTAATGGTTTGTGATCAAAGAAAGCAAACTAACTCTGTCATCTAGATCATAAGATACATGGCCTCGGCTGTACTTGGACCCACGGCCATGGGTGATCCAGACATCATAGCCGTTATCTCCCAAGAGGAATGCCAGACTCTGGCCTGGAGGTAGTAGAAACCATGTCATTCCATCCTGCCACCAAGGGAAAAACAAAGCTTATTGTTTCATAACTTCATAAATAGAAAACAAAACTTAAAGTAATTAAGAAACATAAATTTTTGCTAACCATGAACAGCCCATGTTGTAGAAGAACAGGCTTTCTGGAACGGCCACCAGACTTGCTAGCAAGTCTCTGCATGCCAAGGATGTAACCATCTTTTGTAGTCACCTGAAAACATACCACCCAAAAGATGCTTTTCAAGATTCATTCTCTTGAACCAATACATCTTTCTTTTTTCTTGTGAAAATATTTACCTTGTGTTCTGAACAGCTATAGCCTTCTGGCTCAACCACTGATCTGCAGACTCCATGACCAGCTGCAGCTGCCGAGAAATTCACAAATCTAACAGAATCCGAATGGGATAGAGCATCAACCATAGCCATCCCACAAACGAGAAATGATACAACTATCTGGAGATTACTAGCCATCTTAGCTACTTTGCTGTTGTGTGTTTATAGACTTATCACAGTTCTAGTATTTGCGCACACTTTATACCACACGATTTCCAGATAAGAACAAATAGGAGCATTCCATTTACAAAACTACAAGAACTCCCAAGTATTCCAAATAACATCTTCTTAGACATCAATCATTCATTAATTACTTGTAAATGGGATTCACTAATGTCATGGACAAATTATGCCTTTCAGGCGGTGGAAGACATGCATACAGCCAAAGCTCTACGTTCTAATTGTGTTCCATTTTGTCTTGGAAAGAAGACCATACCTTTCCAAATTCAAATGAGATGCCTTCTCAGTTTCACCGATTGCTCTTGTCAAGTAGCTCGGGGAACAATTGAAGCAACCATAAACCAAGGTCTACGAAAATTCGATGAATGCACTAAAATAAACCTTTTTTACAGTCCTCGCCTTTTCAACAAGCTTGATGAGGTCTTTTGAGTTATCATAAAACAGAAGTAATCACAGGTGTAGTACTGAAGTCTTAGAAACAAACCCTAAAACAAAAGCAGTCCCAATTGTGGCAATATACGTAGCATAACGAGAACTTGGTGGATCGACAAGCTTCATAAGCTCAGCATGTTCAAGAGTCTGGTTGTTTTGCATCTGCAGCACACCAGGAATGCATTATATCGGATTATTATAATTTATAACCAACGAAGGGCAAACAAAGGAGACGCGACCCTCTCTCCCGCAAACAGCAGTTGGTGATGACCTTCTTCTCCCTCGAACAGCATTCGGTGACGCGATCCTCCTCTGCATTTTGTATACTGCAGAAAGTGTACTGCACCAGGAACATATTCTGCATTTGTGTCTCCATAACAGATCTCTGAAACCCTTTTTAGCTATGTGCACTAAGCTTTTCTTGTTGGGACTTCGAGTTCTTGATTGGTTTAGCATATCTTTAAGTGGCTTAAGACAAACTGAGATATGCAGGTACAAGGAAGAACGTGGGGATTTCAACCTGCTCATTGGATCTGATGGTGTATTTATTGATGTGAAATTATTTGGTTGGCAGGTGATGTGAATGCTCTAATTTAATCCCTTTTTACAATTGGTGGTAATCAATCCCAATTCATAGTTCATCAGATGAGTTTTATTGCTTCATGTCTTGAATCAAATTGTATATGAACTGCCTGCTGAGCTTTTTTTTTCCGGTAGAATGTTGGGGAAAAATCCCAAAGTATACTAGTTATTAAAAATTCTCAAAATATATAAAAAAAAATTCAATGTACACATGTTTTTCCATCGTCACCGTGGTCAACAACAATGAACAGATTAACCGCCGTCCTTAACAACGGTGAAAGCATCACCCATGCATCACCGCTTTTAACAACAACGGTGAATACATCACCGCCGTAAAGATAAACGATGAACTAATCACCGCGCTAAACGACAACGGTGAACATATCATTGTTATTGACAAAAATGATGAACTTATCACCACGGTTGAGAAGAGCGGTGAACGTTTATCACGTTTTCCAACCCTGGTAGGTGAAAAATTAGGTCACAACAACTTAGCATTCACCGCAGTAGACAACTACGGTGAACTGTTGACCGCCTTGGACTCCTGCAGTGATTGTTGGTTTTTTTCATATAAATAAACTACCCTACGTAGCTGCTCGAAAAACCTGCCCCATTGATCTCAAATTTTTGCAAAAGTCCTCTTCTCGGCCTGCTTCTAGCAACTACGGTTACAAAAACTCAAATTTTTCGGTATGATATAATTCTGTATTGTTTAGATTTTTTATATTTTCATAATTATATGTTTGTATTTAATGAATTTTTGTTAGTGGCAGTTTTGTTATGTTAGAGATATTTAGATTAATTATGGTATGGTTGATATTACTTAGCTATGATTTAGATGAATTTGTTTAGTATACTCATGTCATTGTAATGCTATAGGTGGTCCATGTTTTGATTAGTTAGTTGCGGTTGTTTAAGGTTTTCGATGATATTATTTTCGTAGCCCTAATGATACTGTACTAACTTTATTCCACTTAAGCTAATGGTTACTTATTATAAATTGCAGACATGGGTAAATTCAAGAAGTTTTAGCTTCTTATTTCGTGGAATGGTCGGGTGACAAACTCTGGCATTGGGATTGATTATGAAGACAGTGAATCCACTATGTTGCAAATTGAGTCGAGATTCACGTGGCAAGAACGCTATGACATCTGTGCATACAGAATTTGTATGGGCGGACAAACGAGAGTTGGTAAAATTATTTACCGGTATCCAAACATGAGTGTTGTCGGGGTTATGTACGAAAAAGTTGTCACAAACGATGATGATGCGGTTACCATGATGTTACAGTTCCTAGCTGACAACTGGATGCGACTTGCAAAGGTGTATGTTGAGACCGAGGCGGTCAGTGAAAATCATTCTCACCAGTATTCGTATGATGATCGTTTTGCAGGAGGGTACGGATGGGGTGGTAGTTCAAGCAACTACGGAGGAGGTAGTTTTGCAGGAGGGGTTCCATGGGAAGAATACCTGCAACATGTTGAGCCTGCCCCATTCATTGAACCTGAGGGCGTTCAATGGCCTGCTTGGAGACCAGAGTGGGCTGACATAGAGAACACCATTAGATTTGGCCTTACTTCGCCTGAGCGAGAAGACGTTGTTGGTGGTGCTGATCACGATGATCCTCCTGGTCCAAGCTATCCATTTGTCTCCAACGATGAGGAAAGTGAGGAAGATTTTAGATCAGTCGGCGAGGAGGAAGATACAGACGATATCGACGACGACGAGGTGGCGTTCAGTGAGCCACCAAAATCATACTACACAGAGGTTCCATCTCAATTTTTATACGATGCCCCCGACTTTCTTCCTATGCCAGTGTATAATCTGAAGGCCAATTTGGAGGTGGGTATGGCGTTCACTTCGAAAGACGTTGTTCAAGATGCTTTTAGCAAAGAAGCCATGCGGCGCAATTTCGAGCGGAAGATAAAAATATTATGACAGCAAACAACTACATGTCATATGCAAGAATGCTGGAGAGGGTTATATGTGGCAATTGCGGGCCTGCAAATATGAAGAGAAAGGGTACTTGGGTCATTCGAAAAGCGGAGAACAACCATAGCTGCTCCTCATCCATACTTTACCAGAATCACTGCCAACTTAAAGCAAAGAAAGTGGGGAGAACGATTAAGCACTTGATCGAGGGACAACTATATATCAAGATCAAAGTTATCATGGCCAAGGTGAATGATCGACATTCCTACACGATCAGGTACAATAAGACATGGCATGGAAAGCAGAAGGTCATGGCTGAGGTGTATGGTGATTGGGATGACTCATATGCTTTACTCCCTATACTAATGGCCGTAATGGAGGAGTCCAACCCTAGGACTGTTTTCGTGCCATGGTGCAACAATGTACAAACTGAAGATCAAGTTCGAGTATAGAATGAGTTGATGTTTCACCGTCTATTTTGGGAATTCAAGCCATGCATTGACGGGTTTGCCTTCTGCATTCCAGTGATCCAGGTATAAATCAAACTAATTATCGTTGTACTAGTTCATTTTTTAACTAAGTAATAGTTATACTAATTAAAATTATTTGGGTAATGACTATTTATTAGACAAATCTTTTTCAGATTCTTTTTTATTAGCCAAACCTATCGAAATACTAAGAATGAGTCAAAGGTTAACTTCCAGTTAGCAATTTTGTTAGTTTTATTGAATTAGCAACATGATACTGACTTGGAAGAGACACATGAAGGTCAACAATCCAAAATTTTAGTATTTTAACTGCGAAAAGAGTTACCAAATTATTAACGATAACGTAAAAATGGCTAATATTTTGATGCCTTACGAAAGATTTGGCTAATTAATAGCATTTTAATAGGTTTGGATAATATAAAAAATCCGAAAAAGGTTTGGATAAAATATAGAGATTACCTAAATTATTTTTAATAGGTTGATGGAACTTTCCTAACTAGGAAGTACAGAGGAACTCTTCTCATTGCCACTGGCGTTGATGGAAATCTATGGATCTTCCCCTGGCATTTGCATTAGTTGAAGGGGAGAACAACTTAAGTTGGGCATGGTTCTTTGACCAGCTACACGACCATGTCACACATCGACGGGGTATTACGATTATATCCAATCGACATGCCGGAATTAGGAACGTCGTGAATGGTTTTCCCGATGAATGGGGGTGGACATGGCGCAGGTGTATTCGACACTTTCTTGCCAATTACCAACACAAATTTGGGGAGAAGAAAGACATAAGAGATCAATTGTGGAATGCAGGTACTAATGTAATTTTGTGCTTTTTAATTACTTATTGTTACAATGAAATTTTTCAAGTATTAATTAGTTATTTTTTGTCACTTTGAAGCGGTTGCACATCAACCAACAAATACTAGCAGAAAATGAAGACGGTCCGTCAGATACATCGGGAGGGGGCAGTATGAGCTGAAGGTCAAGATTTGCCCATGTGGACATTCCATATGGACAACGTGACTAGATTCGGCATTTCAACTACCAACCATGGCGAAAGTATAAATGGAGTTAACAAGGGCCTTAGAGCGATTCTTGTTTCTGTCATAGTGGAGATATCATACTGGAAGGTCAACGAGTGGTTTGTGTAGAGACTTGAAGAAGCTATAGGGAGGGAGCATGCAGGACATGCGATAGCATGTCACGTCTTTGATCAAATGCAGAAGAATGAAAAAAAATCAAGTAAGCATAGAGTTGTTCTTTTCAACCGCAGTGAAGGTATTTTTGTTGTCAAAACAAGTATATGGGGTGGAGCAAGACGTGGGAACATTCGGCAATCTGTTACTCTACACATAGAAAGTTGCACCGAGGAGTGTACATGCCAAAAGTATCAAAACACAAGAGTACCTTGTTCTCATGCAATGGCAGTAGCTAAGTCAATAACCATCAGCCTTTACAATCTGGTGAGTCCTTACTTCACCGAACAGGCGATCAGGAACTCTTACTCGGCCAGTTTCAGCCCCCAACCTTGAATGTGAAGTTTTTTAAATTGTCTTTTAGTTGTAATGATGTTTAAGTTGGTCATTTAGTCGTAATCTTGTTGAGTGATTGTAATGATGATGGAATTGTGATCTATCTTGAGACAACATGGATATTGGATAGTAAACTAAAACATAGATCATGGATACTTCAATGGAAAACACAAGACCGAACTAAACAACTAAGACAACATGGATAGTTCATAGAAAACACAAGACCTAACTACATAACGACAACATAGATAGTTCAATGGAAAGACACAAATCTAAACTAAACAAAGATAACATGGATAGTTCACTGGTTGCCTTCATTTTGTTCCCCTTCTCTCCCTCTTCCTCGTCCTCCACGACATCCTCAACCCCTTCTTCCGCCTTCTCTCCATCCTACTTCTTGGCTACTTCTTGGCGAGCTTGTTGGACAACTGATCGTGGATTCCTCTTAACCCGACCCCCCCCCCCCAACGAAGTAATAATAGGTGGTGGAGGTGGTTGGGACGGACCAGAAGAGTGGTAGTATCTCGATGCATGAGGGGTATGTTGTTGCGGTGTCTGATACTTCGAAGTCTACTGCTGATGGTGGAAATGAGGGAACCCTTGGGGAAACATGTTATGTTTTAAGATGGGGCATAGCTCGACGACCCTCCAGCGCCTTCCGTTGCAGTTGTCCACTCATATGCAAATGTTTCAGGAAGCTCTTCAATGTGTGGCAGAGGCTTTCGTTTGCTCCTTTGTGGGGCCTCAAGGGGGGCACAATGCGCTCATCACTAAGGAAGGATGGGCGGGGCGGAGCAGGCAGTGGAGGGTATACTATTGCATCCCTCCTTTACTCTCGA